CTCCCCAGCTACTCTGCGTACTAAAGTTGTACTACCAAGTCGCCAGTAGTACAACTTCCAGCTCCACAGCTACTCCGCGCACTAAAGTTGTACTACACAGTCGCCAGTTCTCAGCTTCCAGCTCCACAGATTGCTCCGCGTACTAAAGTTGTACTACAAAGTCACCAGTTCTCAGCTTCCAGCTTCCCAGCTACTCCGCGTACTACAGTTGTACTACAAAGTCGCCAGTGCTCATCTTCCAGCTCCCCAGATACTCCGCGCCCTCAAGTTGTACTACCCACTCGCCAGTTCTCATCTTCCCGCTCCCCAGCTACTCCGCGTACTACAGTCGTACTACCACGTCGCCAGTTCTCAGCTTCCAGCTCCCCAGCTACTCTGCGTACTAAAGTTGTACTACCAAGCAAGTCGCCAGTTCTCATCTTCCCACTCCCCAGCTACTCCGCGTACTACAGTCGTACGACCATGTCGCCAGTTCTCAGCTTCCAGCTCCCCAGCTCCTCCGCGCGCCTGTGTTTCGCGCACTCGACACGCACGATCTCCGCAGAGGGTCGCGCGGTGATTTCACAAAGCGCGCTCTCGCCTGCATTTCGCGCACTCGACACGCACGATCTTCGCAGAGGGTTGCGAGGGCAGCCGGCAAATCGCACTCTCGCCTGCATTTCGCGCACTCGACACGCACGATCTCCGCAGAGGGTTGCGCGGGCAGCCGGCAAATCGCACTCTCGTCTGCATTTCGCGCACTCGACACGCACGATCTCCGCAGAGGGTTGCGCGCGGACCGGACAAATCGCACTCTCGCCTGCATTTCGCGCACTCGACACGCACGATCTCCGCAGAGGGTCGCGCGCACATGGGACGAATCGCGCTCTCGCCTGCATTTCGCGCACTCGACACGCACGATCTCCGCAGAGGGTCGCGCGCACATGGGACGAATCGCACTCTCACCTGGGCATTTCGCGCACTCGACACGCACGATCTCCGCAGAGGGTTGCACTTTCGGTTGACGCTGTTCATCCCACCCTCCGCCTTTAAGAGAGAATTTATAAAGTGGGGAAATGTTTTTCATTAGGACATCTCCCGTGCTAGTTTTCCATGCTCATCATTAGTGCTCATCATTAGGACATCTCTCGTGCTAGTTTTCCATACTCATCATCGCACTTGCATCATTACACTTGCATACTTTGACACTTGCATACTTAGCACTTGGATGCTTGCGCTCTTCCACTTACACTGGGGTACGTATAGCGTTCATGTTGTAGTGCAAGTGTGGTGGAAGTGTCAGTGTGTAAGTGTAAGTGTCGAAGTGTCAGTGTTCAAAGGATTTTCCGGAAGAACCCTTCGCAATGCTTTCGGGAAAAATTGTACACCAACACCTCACTATCAAGAAGCTGAGGCATCAACTCTCTCTTGAGCAAATTGATTCGAGCAAAGGGGCTGTCCTCGCATCCAGCGGAACAGGACTGTGCAACCGTCCAAGCTGGTGGACAACTTCCTTCCCCAAGTGTATACAAAAATGCAGGACTGGTGCGTAGAGATGTTTTTTGTCGAATCTAGGAACCAAGTGAATAGAAGCGTGAGCTATCTTGCGTCATAGCTAGCAGCCGGTTACCTATTAGATTGTTTTAAGTAGCCGCCTGCTTGATTAAGGCAAGCTTTCCAAAAAATGTAGGAACCAAATCATTAGTCGTTAGTGCGAGCGCTTCTTCAAGGAAGGGCGAGCTATCCTGCATACTAGTAGATTAAGCAGCTAGGAGCAAACAGTTTTGTCCCCTACTGAATTAACTAACTTGTTACTACTAGCTTCTTGTTACTACTAGTAAGGCACATGTTACTACTAGCGTGGCACTTGTTACTACTAGCTTCTTGTTACTACTATTGGCCTGCTCAATTAAGATAAAGTAAGGAGCCAGGGCCGAACGGGCTTCACAACACCCTCCGCTACGGGGAGCCCGACTCCACGAGGTCTTCGGGTCTCGCTGGGAACTGTCAGATGACCTCGGGAGATGTGGCGGACGTCAGCGCTACTCCAAGACGTGGTGTGCGAATGTCGATAGAGCTCTCAACTGGCACCTTCGCTTGGCCGCCGGGACCAGGTAGCCTTTGCTAAAGCACCTCAACAGCTTGCAAAGGCAGCGAAAGGAATTCAGAAGCAACAGGACAACAGTGATTCGGTTCGGTATTTTTTGTCTCTTCCACACATCCCTAGGATGACATTTATGCCCCACACCTGCCGAATGAGGCTTTGTGGCTGGTCGCGGCCTGGGAACCGGGCACCCAAAACAGTTTGAGCACTTTGTTATTCTGTGCATCTTCATGTTTGGACATTAGGTCAGCACACCAGGGATGCCAGACTTGTAAAGTTCTTGCTTTGTAGTATTGAGTATTGAGAGCTATTAGATTGGAGGCCATCGCTGACCATAGCATTGAGTATTGAGAGCTAGTGTATTGCTTCAGTTGTTTTCACACAGCTGGCATATAGCATTGCAGCTGCAAGATGGTGACACTGGGAAGGTCGTTCCAAGTGCTGTGCGCACGAGGTACTGGCGGCACCTGCAGAAGATGGGGGTTCTTACTTCGCACCAGGTCCAAGGCAAATTCCGTAGCGTCCTTGCTCCTAGTAGCTTCTTGCTCCTAGTAGTGGGGCCAGGAGCCCCTAGTAGCGTCCGGAAGTATATAGCAAACAAAAGTCCAGGTCTGGCAGGTAATCCAGGACTTTGTTTTCTTTAACTGTGCAACTGGCTAGTGTACTCCTGACATCCAGTTGTAAATAAAGTGGGGATAATTATCCTGTATCAAATACATTAATGTTAAAAGGAAGTAGACTCTGGGTCAGTCAGCCCGAAATCTACATGTTTTTTCTCCAAGCTGGCTGTGAATGCGTCTTGTCGGACAGCCTAACTCTAGACTTGTTGGATTACATCGACTGCAAAGGTCAGAAAGATGTGCAAAAGGCACAAAAGGCACATGTGTTTAATCTGCCAGAAAACAAGCCTCAAGAGTGGTCCCCGATACGTTGCGGAGAACTCGTCCCCCGAGTTCCGTCTCTCACCTTCGTATGTGCTGATTCCAAAGTTCGGTCTCGCCTGCACAGCCGCAAACCGCACAGACAGTGGCGTTTCTGTTCGTCTCCGGTTCTTCCGAACGTCTGAGAGGCCGGCTTTGGTAGCAATACATGGTTCAAGCGTGGGGGGGCCTGGCAGTCTGGCATGAGTCAACAATCCTATAAAGGAAAAAGACTCACAAATACACCAAACAAAGCGAAGCTGGATGTCTGTCATTTCAGAACATGCAAGTGAGGTCTTAATCATCCCCAAATCACCGTTCTCATCCAGGTTTTATCAGATTGGGCCTTTGTCAGTGTGTAACAAACAAGTCAAACATGATCAAAAGATTTAACCACACAACACATGACATGCGAGGAAGAAAAAAGAGTACTATTTAGACATAGATACAAGGAAACAACATGAAACAACCACACCCGGCGGAATCGACCCGACTTGCCGTCTGTGTGAAAAACGCGTCGCCTACTCGTGTCACTTCGCCTTGGCAAAGGACATCTTGTCACGGACAGACCAGGTCCACAGCTTGCTGTCTTCTACGGGCGAAAATTCCGTATGTTTCATGATGTTCATGTGGTCTGTAGCCGCCGAACATTGCTGTTTCTGCTTGGTGCTAAATTCCAAGATGTGTTGCATTTCGATCCTTTGAAAGCTTCATTTTCTCTGTCACCTTGAGCTCAGAATGGAACGCCACCACGCTACAACTTATGCATCCACAGCACAAAGCCTCTTATCATCACATGTCCGGTAGTCTATGAAAACTGAATGCATCTTTCTGCAAGGAGATGTGCAAAGTAAAGGATCATCAAGTGCAAACATCACCGTGTTCAAGTCTGATGCAGTACCTGAAAACTGACGCTACAAGGTTTTGATTTGATGTCAATCAACATCTTGATTTTGGGCACTCAGACATTTTTGCCTCGCGAATCGCACGTTGTTTCTTCTTGCAGCTCTTCAAGGTCACCACCAATTCCACAAGCTCTGCCAAAGTCATGTTAAGTCAGGATCATCTCAATCTGGTCCTTCAAATCCTGTCGGCTGCGACTTGTCTAACATCTTGCAAAGGATATTATATCCTATTCGATACAGGAACGCAGCACATGTCCCTAGACTCAGATTGTATTGCACCGGCCTGAATCTGAGTATTCAGCTGGGAACCTTCCTTCGAAGTGATGGAGCAGGAAATCACCGGCCTGGGGACAAGCGGTGGAGTACAACCAATATCGCCTTCCTATTTTGCGGGAGATACTATCAAGACATTTGAGCAACTGGATGTCTTAGCCGTCCTTGACACGCCACATGCTCGCCCTAGAGCAGTCTTGGACTTCACGAAGACGTACGGCACGTTCTTGTCTTCGCACACCAAGGGCCTAATCAAAAGTAAAGTCTGCCGTGTACATGAACTTCTCTTTGGCGCTCTCCTTAATGAGCCCCAAAAACAAACTTGATCGACAAACCCAGGCACTGGGCACTTGAGACTCAAAATCACCAGAAATGTATCTAAAATCTAACACAACTTGTTGGTTTCCCTTGGTGGCCAAAAAATTAGGTTCTTCCAAAGCAGAAGAGCAGAGGTGCCGAGGCTACGAACAGGGGGGAAGTCGCAAGTTAACTTTCTGCAGGGATAACTGCGTGAATTCCCCAAGTAAAATATTCCCATGGCCGCCTTGGCCAGCTCCAAACTATGAGATTTTCTCCCTTTTTGCAGGACGCTCCAACACTTGGGTTGGAGGCCCTACCATCTTGATTGTGGGAACCTCTTGGCACCTGGCAATCAGCAAGAGCTCTGTTAAGTTTCCCTAAAAATCTAGGAACCAAGTCATTAGTGCAAGGAAGCGTGAATTGTCCTCCGTACATATGTAGTAGCGTCCAGTAGCTAGTAGCTTGCTTCTCCCTTGCCTGATTAGGTAGGTGCCTATTTAACTAGATAAGGAGGCAGGGTCACTCGTGCTTTAAAACACACATCTTTCACCTCTTCACCCTTGTTCCAAGGGCTCCGGGCAGGTGAAGCAAGATCTCTAGGGGCTCCGCATCCGCGGCCAGGATCACCAACTCAGCAGTTCCTCTTGCGGCCAAGCGTGGATCTGGCAGCTATGGTGGTGAGACTGCTTTGTCTGCAAATAGGAGGAAACTGATCAATCCCCGAAACACTCTCAGTTGGTCAAGCAAGACAAAATCAATGGATTGAGAATCCCCAGGTGTTTTTGTATTCAAATACACTCACAAATGCACTCCAGTTGCATACACCTTGCGCTTGCGGCTGTGCTCCTCGGTTCAAAGTCTTGGTGGCCTCGTTTGCCCCCTTCTTCAACTGCTTATAGTTGGCTGCTTGTTGCCTTAAAGGCAGGCAAGCTCGAGCTTGTTTGCAATGGACATGGGCTGCACGTGTCCAGCAATGTCTTATGACACAAAGAGCCTGGTTGGTGGTATGCACGAAAACAATTGAAAACAGCAGGCAGTGTTCGATCTTTGTCATACAGGCACCCGTGTTGGAGGCCGAGTTGCACCAAGTCCAAGATGGTCACGGTAAGGGCTTCCTGCAAATTGATTTTAGCCCTCACATTTTCTCTTAGACCTTTACCGTGTGTTCAAACAATATTAATATATATATATACACATCCATCGTATACTTTCGCGAATATATGTAAATGCGTTGCTTGCAGTAATACTTTGCGCAAGTAGGCGTGTGTCTTACGATCAACGACGGTCCCTGCCTTGGCCAAAGGGTAAGCCTGCAGAATGGTGGGTGGCGAACGATCTTTGCCGTTCAGCTGTCTAGATGTTACAGAGAGCAATAAACCATATCAAGAGGAATGAAAAAAGGCAAACAAGCTTTGACAAACCTCAGCTCCGATTCAGTTTCGATATTTTATGAAATCATTGACCAGCGTGTCGAATGGCACAGACGCTCTTTTGGAGAAGCAGCTCCCACCTTGGGGTTCACTTCTTCCTCCTCTGCCATTGTCTACCGTCCGCACTGTGACCGATACACTGACGGACAGGGCCAAATGTCTGCGGTACACTTCATCCCGGACACCGACGACTCGTTACCGCCATCCACGACTCGACGACCGATCTCACGGCCTAGCAGCGAACGTTTGCCTCGCACGGTGAAACGAAATGACGCAGCCTATTCCCAACTGGCTAGATCTGCTTGTGGCAATTAGATGCAACTAGCAAATCACAACACCTCACCTTCACAAGAATACATCCAGGACAGGGACGTCGGTGATGTTGCACCGAACAGAAATGTTTCTCTTTGGAAACGGGCAGAGGCTACCAGCAAGTTCAATTGGGTCGGCCAAGCTGGACAACACGGCATTGATCATTGTCTCAAGGAAAACGTGTTGAAATGGAAATGTTGGAATGACAGTTACATGCACCTGCACATTCAGCCACGTTTGTCCGATGGCAAAAAGGACTGGTGCTTATTCTATGAACTTTGTTTGCCTGGCACCAGCATCTATTCATCTTCGGTTTGCAATTGCCCCCATTGAACCTTTAGCATTCGAGCATCAAGCACGGCGTAGAACCAAACTAAACAAAACTACACTTCTACATCTGTTGTATGATTCTATTCCATAGAGGAAGAAGAAGATAGAAAAAGCAGGCCAAACTCTTCTAAAATGACCCTTCCAGGCTTCAAACGTCTAAACCTTGCCGAGCGTCGTCCCCTGGGGCGACCAGGGCCCGGAAGTCGGACCGCCGCAGGTGCCTCGGTTTCGAACCCGTGGAAGACGGACAGATCGGTCAGTCGCGAATGGAATGCTTTGCTTGTGCTTTTTTGTGCTCTGAATTTCCAAAGCACAAACATTTGGCAGTTCTTTTGGGAAGGCTTTGACCGAGATGCCGTGTTGCCGTGCACACGCAGTGCTCGAGCAGCTTGTGCGGCCGAAATGTGTGACGCTGCCATCACACGTGCCCCTGAGGCCTTAAGCATGGTCCAACCACAAACCAACCAGTGATGTATTTATATAATAGTATCTATGTGTGTATATATATATATATTGATATATTTCTATTTGTTTAAGATCTAGTTCTTTTTGTTTAAGATCTATTTATCTATTTAATACGGCATGTTTGCTCGGGCAGGGATTCACTGCTGTATGACTGTATGATGGAATGCACCTGCACAACGACAATTTATGCCAAATCCACTTCTGAACGATTGCAAATGCCCAACCCACGTCTGTCCCATGTATCGCCACAGCTATGCCATTCCGAGCCTAATTCGATCACGATTAAAGTTGTTTTTTGTGTGTGATCTCTGCCGAAGTTGCTCTGGTGTTACTTGGGCGAGGTGGGGCAGGTGGCTCCTGAGAGGTCAAATCTGAACCCAATGGAATCCTTAAGAGACAATCTGTGCAGAAAATACTGTGTTATCTAATTGTCCAGAAATACATTGAACAATGATTTGGTCCAACAGACCTTCCTCAAGCCTTCAAACCTGTGACCTATTTCGCTCACTCGCTCCTCCTCGGCTTGAGTGGAGCTGACCTTGCGTCGGCCAACGCAAAGGAGAGCACACCATATAATAAGGGCAATCAGTGTACTGTCCAATGAGACTCTTCATTGCACAGAACCAAAGCATCCATATGTGCACATATAATATACTATGTGTATCTTATGATGCATACAACCGACATCTACCAGGTGGACGGCAAACAGAGTGAGATTGGAGAACCAGCCTCCAAAGAGCTGCTCCGCGGCACGCCAGGCATAGCAGAGCCTGAAAGGGGTCAGCGTCAAGCTATATCCCTTTGGTGTCCTTTTGGCCTCTCAGCGGCCTGCAGTTCTCTCAATGTCGTGATAATTTTTAGAGACTTGTGTAGCCGGAAGGACTCCCTAGCTGGGGCACAATGAACCATCGGATCTTGGCTTATCTTGCAGGCACATTGTTCCCCAGACAGGATGGTCCAGGATCAGCCAAATAGTAGCAGACTGAGAAACAAAGACATTATGGAAGACAACTCATCAAAGCACGACAATAAGTAACAATGTCTTGTGCCTGCTGTTGGCTCAGACTTCTGCTCCTGCTTTAGGATGGCAATGCATGCCTGAGAAATGGAGCTTGAGTGACATGGCAGCAGATTGCATTCTGGCAACTCTTCAGATTGCCGAGATACATCAGCGGCTTCTGGCGTCAGGCCCCGCAAAGGATGCGTCTGCACCTTGTAGCGTCATGAGCTGCCATTCCCATCAAGATCAACCAACCTTTCACGCAGTCCCAAGCCTTCTTTACCCTCTGCACTCAGGTAGCAGAACCAGATCTAACAACTTGTACAAGGGACAACAAGCGTTGGACAGGTCAGATTAGCAGAAGTTTCTCGTATTGCCTCCCAAGAATAAGTTTCTGGTTTTGTGCGAAGCATCCCACAAATATGCTCTCCCTCAGGGGGTGCATTTTCAGTCCACAAACACTCTTCAGTGGAGTCTGATGACCTCCAAAATCAAATGTGTGGCCTGCGTTGCCATTTCAACACAATCGAAACCAGGTCCGAGGAGCAAAATGCCCTCGCAAAAAGCGGCCGTTCTGCTCTGCCAGAAGCTCTCTGTCATCAATGGCCACCTGAAAAAGAAAAGAAACACGTATATAATTATATATTTCTTACACTATATATATATATTAAAATGTGTCTTTCAAAATAAAACCAATGCTTTGGGAATCTGTGGACATGAGCTTCTTGAGTACTGTCAACAATTGATACCAAGCCTTGGCAGCTTGAAAGCATAACACAACGCAACACTCTGAGTAGCAAACCCAGTTTTCCAGCTTTTGAACTCCAGGTGTCCTTTGACAGCTCAAATGGCTTGAATGGAGGCGTGAGCAGGTGGTGTTCAAAAGTGTTCAACCAAAGACTCAAAATCTCCTGAGGTAGTCTCTCTTCCACTCCAAGATCTCAGTGGGTCTCTGAGCCAAATATGGGCTCTTGCCTCACACGCTTGTGCATTATCATCACCCTGAAGCATCTGTGCGTTTGCAGGTTGTGAGCTTGTCAAATCAAATCCTTTGGCCCAAGAACTGAGTGAAGTCAACCAAACGTATTCAATGAACATCGTTTCTGGCCTTTTGGTTCCACCAGACCGTTGCATGCAAAAAACCGTCGATCGAAAATGGGAAGTTTGCAAACATTAGCCAAGGCGGCCAAGGCACAGGGGGTGCAACCAATGAGCTCCAAGCCCAATGAAGAAAGCACTTGTTGTGCCTCTGCTCGTGCCTCTGGGTGCCGGCCTCATTCAAACTAGGGTGCCCTTAATCTTCGCCCTCTTTCCATGACATTTTGACCTAGGACCTAGGAATGTCTGCTGCTGGGATGCGCCAATCACTGGAGAGTACTATCTTTGCTCCAGTTTCTCTGGCGACCTAAGCACTGCAGAAGGACATTCGCGAAGACGTCAAAGCAAATCAAGACATGATCTTGATGAAAAAGTCCCATGCCGCTTATGCTCCTGCTTAAACTTGGCATAGCTTGTGTCCCCAAGATGCTGACTCGCGCAAGATTTTGCAAAAGCTTCCTGCACGAATCTTCCACAGCAAAGCAATGTAAAGTATTAAACAAAGTGGAGAAGAGTGTCTCTTTGAGTACTTTGAATCATATGATATCATATGAGAAGGCCATCTGAATCTCAAAGCCGAGCGTCTCTTCCATGACGCATGGCCGACGGGTCACCAAGACCCCATCAATGTCCAGGAAAATCAAACGCATCCCATGGCACGACCCCCCGGGCCCAGTGGTCAAGTTTCTGGAACGTGGAAAATCAGTCGTCTAATCCTGAGGCTTCTTGCTCCTAGTAGTGAGGCCAGGAGCCCCTAGTAGCGTTCTTGTTCCTAGTAGCGATGCCCTTTGCTCCTAGTAGCGTCCTACCTTCAGTATGAAAGCAATACAAAAACCAACTGCAAACTTAATCGTCACTCTCATCGTGGGCCCAATCCTGGGGCATGTCTGCTCCTTCCAGTCTGGATTCACTGGATTGTTAACATTGCCTTAAGTTGCCAACCTGGTGCAAGGAGTGTGCAAGGCTTGTCTGATAGAACTTGTCTCAAATGGCAATGTCGTTCTTTCAATCACTTGGCAACCACTTCGTCAAGTGATTTCAGTCTTCATCGTCCTGAGAGGCTCAAAAGACTTGTCCTCGCTGTGGCCACCCACATTGCATAGGGTTAGAAGCATGTCTCTGCAAAGCCGGTCACACTTGATTGTGATTCGTCTCTGGTTTCTGCTGCAACAGGTCCGCTTGGCTCAAAGCCGTGTCACGCCCAAGTGGATTTTTGACCCTGCAAATCTTCACCGAATTCTCTGACTATGGCTCTTCTTGCAATGTGAGAAGACTGATGCAACTAACTTGATTTATCGGCATTGTCTTCTTGACTGTGCAAATTCGCAAGTCCTTGCAAAGTTGCCTCCATCGCAGCAGAGGTACATCTGAATGCGGCCGCATTCAAAAACAACACTCGATACCAGCCTAAGGCTGGCAACACCTTAGATGAGTATGTAATAAGTAATAAGTGTTTCTCTTGTCTAGGCCATCTCTCAACAAAGTTCACCAAATGCCATCTGGTGGCAACTTCAAAGCTTTGACCTCTTTCAAAAACACTGCAAAATGGACAAATGACTCCTGCCGCATTGAGAGAACATCAACCAAAGATCTCAATGATCTCCGACTCGTCCGTCATCGATCCTGGTCGGTATGGTCTCAACATCGTGACGGATCTGCACGCTAGTCAGGCCTCGTAAGGGCTTACGGATTGTCAAGGCAACTCTCCCTGGCTCGCCCTCCTTGAGGCACGATCCCAAACCAAGACCAACCTCAAGCACGGGCAAAGATTGGAGTGATTTAGTCTCCAAAGCGACAAAATGAATCGTAAGGAGACTAAATCCTCAGAAAGGTTGCAATCGTTTGCTTTCAGAGTCCTGCAATCGGCCCAGATCATCTTGCTCCACTGCTCGAGATGCTTCTGTTCGAAGATGGAGCCTACGGTTGTTTGAATCCTGTTTCTTCTTCTAAGCGGCTTCCAAACAGGATTCTGGATGGTCTTTTTAGTTGATTCCCCAGGTGACTGCTTTGCTAGACCGGTGATGACGGTCAATGGCGCGAAACAATCCCTGAGTTCTCACGTAGGCCTCGCGTCTCTCCCTCTCTCTCGCTCAGCACTTGACGATGGGTGCGGCTCTGCCAGTAGCAAGCGACCCTGGGTGTCCCATTCCACCTGACAAAGCTTGCAAACAAAAAACACAAGCCAACCCAGTTGGTGGTTTCAACTCACTTGAAAAGTATTATATATGTATAATATAGACAGTGGATTCAATCATCCCAAGTAACGGTTGAAAACAAATATCCGCAACCACCACCTAGTACTATAAGAAGAGGTATTCAATTTTGAGAGCTGGCAAAAGTTATCTACAAAAGTCGAGTGAAACCTCTTGAGAGTTGGGAGAAAGACATCCAGGCATCTTGTGCACCAGCCTTCACTGAGAAACGAGGATCATCCAGTCTGCGCGCGTGGCAATGTGGCGGGCTCAGAAATCAACGGGCTGTGTCAGAAAGAGCAACAACAACAACAACAACAACAACAACGAGAAACATGCGCACCTTTTCCTTTACAACAGAGTTCCATTTATTCCATTTGTTGACATTGTCATTTTTGCAACAAGCTGTCCCTCTGTTTCCATTTGTTGACTAGGATCCCGGATGCCTCTGGCCCAGCGTGACCACATCATCTTGCAGCTCAATCCTCACTAGCACACGAAAACGTAGAGAAAGTCTTTTAGCTCCTTGTGGCGGACATGTTCCAAAAATGTCTCACTTGGAGTCTCCAGACGTGTTATCTTTTCCGCTGTTATTTTTTGCTTGCTCCTACTTAATCAAGTAGGCACCTACTTAATTAGGTTAAGTAAGGGAGTAAGCTACTAGCTACTTAAGCTACTACACATGGACACAGGATAGCTCACGCTCGCACTAATGATTTGTTTGGTTCGATTTTTTGGGAAACTTAACTTGCTGGAGCAACTGGCGAGGAAAGCGGCAACTGGCGCAAAGTCGCTTCCCTCGGTCCTTGGCAATCCCAGCTGCTCTTCAAAGTCCATCAAGCTCTTCAAGCGCTGCACCTGGCGGCTTTGACGATGGCCTCCAACCCAAAAGCAATGGCCTCCACCTAATTAATAGCGATGGCCTCCAATTCTTTCTTTGTTTCGGCATACCAATCATTCTTTGTTTCGACACGGAAAGCCTTTGTTCCCTCAAATCTCAGAGACACAACATCCCGTCAAAACATCACAGTTTGATTTTTGACACGAATGTATTCCGCCTCTGCTTCCTCCGCCTCCGCCATTTCCAAGAGCTGTGACAGGGCTGCCTGGAATCAATTGAGTGGCCATTGTCTTCGTTGCCTCAACAAATCTGAACAAAACCACTAGAGAAGGAGGCCTCCTCTTCTTCAAATGCCTTGGCCCTACGCTTGGCCTCAGGTGAAGTGCTGAGAATGGATGTTGTAATGCGATACAACAAGGACTCCAAAGGGGGACCCCTCAACCATGGGTCCACGAATGTTTCTTTCCACAAGGGCAGGATGTGAATGACTGTGATTGAGACACACCAATTCTCCAGGTGCCTTGAAGAATATATATACTGTCATCAATCTATGACCCCCACCTCGTGATCGTCTTCCGAATCCTGCAACAAATTCAGAGGTCCAACACTTCATTGGCCTTCACTGCAAAAATTGCAAGCGTTGACAAAACAATATGAGGCGCTTTCCTCCTGAATCTTTGTGAGCTCTTCCAACCCTTTCTCACACAACCTAGGCGAACGGAAATCAACTTGCCATATGCCTTACTTTAGTCTGCATGAGGCAATTCTGCATGCGACTGAGTTCGATCCAAGCTGTGTGGTTGGAGATTGCAGCTTGCGACTGGGTAGCTGATGGAGTCGGCCAGCCTCCTCCTTTGTCCGTGTCAGCTCCTGTCCGGCTGAGTATGAGCTACCACCAATGAAGCCGCAATTGCTCTGTGAACCTGTTGAAAGCCTTCCATGACTCTAGGTCACTACCGGTACTGGAAACTTGGTCATCAGACAAAGACAGGACATGGCAAAACTCGGTGGCAAAAGATGGATACTGCCTGGCACAAGTGGAGATGAGATTCCAGCTCATTTGCCATCTCTTGTGAGAGTTCCTCCAACAGCCCAGTGAGCAGCATGTCGCATTCTTTTCTCGTCGGATCCACACGGAAACGAAAAGTAAGAAACCAGCAACCAGCAACAAAAGCACAAAAACGTGTTCTGCCTCTATAGTACGACTCTATGCTGAGAGAGAGAGGGAGAAAGGGAGATGTAATACGTATGTATTTATGGGTTTATGTTGTTTCTATACCAATCCAGTCTGAAGTGTCAACCAACCACCTGTTGTGACAAGGAGGTTTTAGAATCCAATCTCAGCCCGTCAGAAAATCAAACTGGGAGGTCCTTGCCTCAGCCTGATGCGTGGACCGAGATAATCTTGACGCCACTGCTGCATCTCGGATGAGTTGATGACCGGTGAAATAGTATAAAAAGGCTGATGTTGTTGTCAGGGCGATGCAGAACTTCCACATTGTTGCTCGGTGCAGGAGCATGTAGATTTGAACTTGGAATCAAAGTACACATCTCTCGCTATGACGAGTAGACACCACACATCGCCACACACACTAGAACTTGGCCAAAGGATCCAAATTTTGGGCTTCACCGGGTGGAAAAGTGTGGAAACGCTAGTCGATTGACCTGCTCAAATCGTGACAATGAGCAATTGACTGCTAAAAACCACCCTGTGCCACTCCAAATCGAACTAACAATCTGTGATCATGGCTGTTCCGCTTTCGAGCACCCGAGAACTGACCGGAACCACGACAAAGCCAGTGCCTGGAATGGCCTGAAGCTCTTGAAAATGGCGCTGCGCCTGCAAACACCAACGTGGTACTGAGCTTACATGCACAAAAATCCCAAAACCTGCTGGGTTGCCAGCTGTAACTCTAGATGCCAAAGAGTCGCCTCCACACACAAGAGCAGAAAGATCTTCTCTTTCAGTTCCTGAAGGCCGTCCTTCTCCTTGTCAATTGCGTTTTGCGGGTCCTTTGCATAAAACCAACTTTGCTAAGCAACACTGTCTAGGTTCTTCGTCCTAGGTCAAGTATGGCTTCATTTTGTGTCTTTTCTTTCAGGCTTGCTATTGCGTCAGAAGTGCAAGACTGCAAGACTTTCACTTTGCCAACTGCAGTATCTTCAGCGCAGTGATTGCACAGGTGCCTTCATTGCTACATCAAGAGCGTGGTGCTCAGGGGCGCTGTGCAAAGACAACGATGGTGACCTCATGCTTCGGAGCTCAGTGGGAGAGAGGTCTTACATCCATCCACAAATCCCTTCTGAGCCAAAGCGAATCTCACCGTAACGTACCCAAACCACGGGCAACTCCATTGCTCTCACAAACTTTGGACCTGCCTCGGCGCTAAAGCATGCTGCGTCCAAGCCATCTCACGCGCTGATGCCAGCAATAAAGAATCTCGCTGCTTCACGAGCCCGAACAGAAGCAGCTGCGAGGAATATCTAGTAACAAGTGCCTTACTAGTAGTAACAAGAAGCTACTAGTAACATTCTATTTGTGTTCCGTCCTCCGGAGCTACAAACAGAATATGATTCTCAGTTTGGTCTGCCAATCCCGACGAAAAGGTCAGACTTT